CTTCATCATCATCATCATCATCGGAATCGTCGAATGTTGATAATAAACATCAATCCGTAAATGATAGCATAAAAATAATGAAGGCAAATGAAAGACGAAACAAATTTCGTATATTGGCTCGTACACTTGATACATTAGCAAATATTGATCCATCATTAGATTCAACTTTATACAACAAACAATTAGAAATACAATGTATCACTACTCTAGTACCTTTAATACGACAAATTAAATCAGAACCATTTGAAATCAAAGATCATCATTATTAATAAAAAAAAAAAAATTAAAACGCATTTATAATCAACCAAGATTATGGTTGATACTTTTTCTTTGTTTTATCAGATGATTGTTCATCTGAAACGCATAAATTTAAATAATAATCATTTCTTTTCAAAAGTATCAATAAAATTATTCATACATTTATTCAAGTCAAAGTATGATACTTGTTTGGTTTTGGTAGAAGTATGTAAGAGTGCATAGTTCTCCAGCGATGTCTACAAAAGAGAGTTCATTAGATGTAACTTTTGACACTCTTTTCAACGGTGCATCTGAACGTAGAAATTGATTAAAAGGACTCGACAAAACTTAGGTTTTTGAGGAATTTTACAATTTATAGTATTTTCTGATTTTGATCGCTCTAATGTCAATTTTTCTTGAAGTAAATTAGCTCGGCATGATTGACAGAGTCTTCTATTTCGAATGGTGTCCTTGAAAGCAAAAATGGAGTTTTTCATGATCACCAATGCATCATAAATGCAAGCATACATGTATTTGTTTTGAAATTTTTTTCCACTGGTAGAGAAAGTCCACTTTAGTCATACTCGATTCGTCAAAACAAAATACTTTATCGTTTAAATCTATCATAATCATACTTATAGTTATCCATTTTACCGATGAATATGAATAGCATGATCTTCATGATTATGATTATTTATACAGAACAAATAAAAACACGAATGATAATCAACTATCTTCTAATTCTGGCGAAAATAAATATCTCAATACATGTAATCGAGAAGCAGTACAGTTCGAAGAGAAAAAGGGTGTGGGCGTAAATAAATAGAATATCATACCCACACCTAACTCCATACTCACACATGCACATCCTTTTCAAAATTGAAATGCCATTAAAATATAAAATTGTTGATCTATTGACATGGTTAAATGAGAACGTGACATACATTCAGCATTCTGGACAAATATATTGCTCGACAGAAACAGATATTTCCTGACATATTTTCCCATAATTGTTTAAAAATCATTTTTTAGTTCATTAGCTTACATTTTTTAAATATTAACGAATAGATTTTGTATGATGTGTTAATAAACGATTAGAGGAACGGAAAATTTACTAATCGTGAACTAATAATTAACTCTTGTGTCTATGGATTGTAGCTTTGATGATTAAATTTCTCATTGAAAAAAGCGACAAGATATAAAAAGAACAACTTCAGAAATGTTATTTCTACTTTCTTCTATAGAAAATTTCATCAATTATGTGAGTGCTATATTTTTTGTTGGTATCAAATTATCTCTATTCAACAAACAGATTCGCTAATGATGACACAAATAAAGAGTCGAGTACAAAAAATGGTACAAGATGTTGTCTAATGTACAGTTATCTGTTGAAAACAGATGATATAAGTCGTTTTTTTAGACAAAAATACTGTTTTGAATTTTTTCTTTCGTGTGTTCTTTATATTCGATTTATTTTCTGATCACTTTGATCAATTGAACTTTTTACTAATCTAGTGAAATACCTTTTTTTTGTTGAAAATTATTTTCGTAAATAAATTTCGTAAAGAACATTTGAAGTTACGAAATTATCTTTGACCAATGAAGAAATGAGTCAAAAAATGGAAAGAAAAAAAGTTATTATCCGTACTGAAATTTGATAATCTTGTTCATTCATGTTATCATATTCAAGTAAGAAGATTAAAAGGTTTGCAAAGACAATATTCACATATCATATGCAAATAGTATATAACCCAGACAGAAAGACTGAAGGTCTCGGATACTACCATTAGATTATATCGATGTGTCCAAGTCTTTAATGGAAGATATTCGGATTCTGCAATATTAGCTCATCATTGACTTTGTTTCAATGAAACAATGACATACTCCAGTACTGTCGTACTTACCTGGACTCCGAAGGCACAGTGTCAGTTCAGAGAGTATGGAAGGACATCGTTTTCTTTTTTTTTTTGTTGTCTAAAATTAGAAAAAACTATTATTGTAATCAATTTAAAGATTGTAATATATGAATTGATACGAAAATTTTATAAATTGATTAGTGATTTGGAGCTTGAATACTTGACGATGAAAACATGTTACTGTGCTTAATTGCATAAAATCAGACTAATACTATTGAAATTACATTCTGTTCATGGTGATACAAGATTTAATAGTAATTAAAATGTAACTTATACATGATGAGTCTTGTCATTTTGTTTATGTAAATAAATGCTCGGAGATATTATCAGACATGACATCTCCATATTGTTGATTCTATTTTTATAGTAGAAAATGCATTCGCTTACATTCGATAGCACTAATGTAAACTCATCAATCAATTTTTTTTGTCGATATTGAATTAAAGTATGGCTAAATATGGTGAATACGAAGATCCGACTAAGATATCCGATGTAGTGATTTAACAGTCGACCGATATCTCTGTTGTCGTAAAATCTCTTATAGTTGATACCGTCTTTCATTCATATGAGATCAACTACTTAGGGTTAACTAAAAGTTCCGTTGAACACTAATTAAATATATAAACATAAGAAGATATTTTATTTTTATTTAGTGCAATGTTTGAGATAGTTGCTTTAATTATTTATTACAAAGTCTATTTCTTGTTAACAACTAGTTAAGAGTTTTCTTTGAATTTCTTTTCTGAAATATTTTCGAGTACCTTGAAAACCGCATAAACAAATCAAATCATGTATCATTTATTCAATCAGTTAAATTAGATTCGATATAATTATTTGATCGAATATTACTTAGTGTTAGATCTGGTAAATATCATGGATGTGACATTAAATTGATGCCTTTTTCTGTTAACTAATTAATATCGTTGAATGAGGTGGAAGTCAACAATAATTGTTAAGCGATTTTGTATTTTTTTCAACTGATGTCTCTGTTTGTTTCTATAATCCATTAAGAAATGACTTCAGACGATTTTCGACATAGTAATTGTAATCTATAACCTTGCCTTTATTCAGAGTATGTGTAAGAATTAGACCATTTGATTTAAAAAAAAATATGCAAAATAAAGTTTTCTGTTCAAAATTCTACTTTCAAGAGGTAATCCTTTCAGTATTTGTTGCATGCAAGACACACATGTCTTTTTCTTTTCTCTTTTATTTCCTTTGTCTCATAAGGAAAGAAAACATGAGTCATTTGACTTTGTTCTTATTTTTTATTTGTCCAACTCATCACTTTTTACAGCATTTCTTTCATATGAAGCAACAACGTACATATTTCATCGAATTGCAAGTAAGAAATTTGTGTGTAGAAATATCTGAATGTATTAAAGTCCTTCATCATCTGTTGCATGGCGAAACTATTGACCTTAACTTATAAATAAGTTAAGTATTGTTATTCAACCCTAAAGATTGATAAAAAAGAACAACACTTATCAATTGATTGTTTGATATTAAATGTTACTGAATAATTTAAAACTTAATAATAAGTTTAACTTCTTCTACTTATTATTTAATTCACCAAAAATTAAGTTTGTTTGATCATATTATATGAATACCAATTAGTTTCAAATTTTTGTCTTTCTCTCTCGGTTGATGAAGAAGCTAACTGGTATATTCACTTAAATGAATCAAAATACACGATACTAAATCCCTTTGAAATAAAGAAAGACTTGATATCAAATGGTATTCGTTTAATATCATCATTTAAACTAAATTGTATGTGATCTAAATGTTAAGTATGGAAACTTAAACTTAATAGAAAACATTATAGGATTCCATAACACACAATATTAGAAAATGAGTTGATGTCCATAGATCTTTCTTTTTAATCAATATTATGTGTTGAGTAAAGACAATTGATACTAGTGACATTCATTACCATCGGTGAAAATGAATCTTTATTATCTATCGAAGAAATATTTCAGCCATTGAAAAAAAAAAAGAAACTCTTGATAAAGAACTCGAACAAAATATAATAATTACTAGAGTAAATTTAAGAAAATCTGTAGATCGATTAAAACTGAAGATGCATTGGCATCGATTCATTTGTATACAATGAACTTGAATATGCTTGAGAATAGTTTCTATGCGATACTGAACCAAAAACTCGAATTGATTCATTTCATTTGAAAGAAAAAAATTGGTCATTTTTCAGATTTTAAAGTTGTTTCTTACAGTTTTTGTTTAATTATCGTAAATATCAAATATTTTTGACATCTTAACATGATGTTACTTCACATTAGGTCAATTGAATATCAAATTGTTCGACGATGAAGATATGAGCGTGGATGTTAGATTTATTCACAGTCCATGCCCCGTTCTAAATCTACAACTATATCTGAAAATCATATCCATATTCTCAAACTCTTGTACATTTAGCAACCATTCCCAAATGAAATTCCATGAAAATTCTCAGATGAAATCGTAATGGATTCAATTCGAATCAATTTTGATTTTTATGAAACATGTTCATTTTTTATTTAGTTTGCAACAAAACAAATTAACATAAGTTTATCCTAATACAATTAGATGGATGAAGTAGTTGTGAATGTATCTCTTGTTTTCCTATTCACACTCACAACCTCTAAGACTTCATTATAATGAAAATCAGAGACAGATCATAGTCTATTTCGTCATCGCAGCTATTCGTTATTTTATTGTGATCAACAATGATAAACTCCATGGTATTAAAAACGATATTTTCGATGATGAAATGCACATGAAAATGGATATATTCTTGATTGGTTCTTTATATATATATATTTATATGGATTCATTTTAGATCGAAATTATTTGATATATTCACATAATAAATAATATATCTCTAGTGATTTTGCTTCCAAGACAAATGGCAACAGTAAATCAATCAAATTTATGTTCGATCTCAAAACAGCTGACAATAAAATTCGATAATGAAGTTGTAAGATCACACGATGAGCTTTTTGATCAAATTGAACAATAAAAAAAAAAACAACAATCCACAAAATAAAGCAAACAACCGAAAAAACTCACAATAACTTATCTTATTAATTGATAAACAAAGAATAACAATAATAAAGCAA